GTATCCAGGGTAACCATCCAGGGTTCGAGAGAGAGACGAGAGAGATGAGAGAGAGAGAAAGACGAGAGAGACGAGAGACACGAGAGCAAGAAAGACGAAAGAGACAATAGAGATGAGAGAGAAGGGGGAAGCCATAGCTGCTACTTGGTTGAGACTTGCTGTGTGTGTGTGTGCGGCAGAGCCGCTGGTGACAAATATTCTTGTATATTGATAATAATACTGGTGATGACATCTTTGAGTGTGGATTGCATCTCGTTTTGGCTTCTCACATGTGTACTCTCATGTGGATGCAAGTTGAACTTGGCAAGTATTTGGATCATTTGAGTGGTATCAGAGCTGGTTCCCATTGCGTCTGCTCGGGTTTGAGACGCTGGCAAGAAGGAAGGCCGGCGGGTAACAAAAAAAGAAAAGAAAAAAAGACATTAGGGTTTGACGAGTTGAGGGCTAAAGTTGCCAGACTGGTTGCATCTCTCCTCTTTCATATTTTGCATGCGCCGTCGTTGTTGAAACCAGCAGCAAATGCTCATCAGCTCTGCGTCAGAATCAAATGCAGAATCAATGACCTCATGTAATTGCTTTTAATCAAGTGATGATGTTCATCAATTCCGCAACCAGTCCTCCGGGTCATGCCTTCTTCTACTCGTCAAGATTGTGAAATGATTAACGAGGTTACAGGCTTCATCCGTTACCGCAAACTACGAATAATGGTGGTGTTTGTTCGCTTGTTCCAACATCCGATGCTGGGCCTTCTGGATGTTCTCAGCCACATGTTGCAGATCCTTCTCATACTGGATGACAAACTCACGTGTGCCAGGTGGCAATCTCCGGATCTGATCCGGATTCAAACAGTCTATGGGATGTCAGGGACTCCAGCCTCTATGCAGTTCATTCGGGGTCCGCAAAGGTAGGTAGGTGAACCGAGTTGCTATATGCACTAGCTACTTTGGGAAGATGGTCATCCCAATCTCCCTGGTCTGGTCTAATGTACATACACAGTACTTGTTGTAGAATCGTATTCATCTGCTCGGTCTGGCCATTTGTTCGAGGATGGCATCCAGATGACATAGCGAACTTATATCCGTAGACCTTCATTAGCTGCTGCCATTGTTCCCTTGTGAAGCGGGTGTCTCGGTCACTAATTATGCTCCACAGGTAACCATAATCCTTGACCCAATGGTTAAAGAACTCTTTGATGATCAGATATGTTTTTGCTGCAGCACATAATGGTACGAAAACGACAAATTTACTAAACCTGTCAACTATGACCATGACCTGACTCTTCCCACTACTACTCTTGACCTTAGTGTCCATGGAATTGCTAGATACAGATTCAGCGGGGCCAGATGGGATTGGCAAGGGCTTCAACAGTCCAAGGGGGGGCTGTATGGAACTCTTGATACACTTGACAGCCTTGGATGTAGGTGATGCAATCATGCTTCATGCCTGGCCACGTGTAGTATTTGAGTAGGGCACCATAGGTCTTCGGCCAACCAAAGTGGCCTTCAGTATCACGGCATTCCGCTAGGATTAGACTGCGCACCGCTTCACTACGCGGTATGCAAAGCCTATCATGCACATCAGTCTTCTCAAACAGCAATCCATCGGCCATTTTGAAATCAGGGACTTCATGAGGTGTGGTTTGCACCTTCTTCAGCGTACTATACACAGGGCCATCAACCTAGGTAGCCTTGATCTTTTGCTGCAGATCTGCGCCAGCGTCCAGGTAAGTGCACCAAAGAACTCTGCACGTCTACTCAATGCATCAGCGACGACATTGTACTTACCCTTGACTGGTTTCAATTCAAAATCAAACTGATCGATCTCCCCAGCCCACCTAGTCAGTTTAGGAGTCATCTGGGCGTGGGTCTTCAACCGGTGCAGTCTCATGTTTGGAATATACCTTGAAGTGTCGCCCTAGCAGGTAATGTCGCCAATGGTCTTGAGCCTGTCTGAGGGCGAAGAGCTCACATTCGTAAGTCGAGGCTGCTACCTCCTCACTGGGGAGCTTGCAAGACAAACTCAACGGGCTTGTAACTATCTCCATCACTGGCTGTAACAAACGGTAAGAATGAATCAGCTACTTTGAGGACCACTCGATGAGGGACTTTGTCAACTTCTTGAAGGCTGATGTACAGTCCTTGTCCCAATTCCAAATGGTTTCCTTTCGCAGCAGCCTGCGTAAAGGAGCAGCAATGGAAGTGAAGTTACGAATGAACTTTCGGTAGTAGTTGGCCAGTCCTAAGAACGACCGCAACTCAGCCACCGTGTGCAGGGTTGGCCAATTACGAATTGCTGATATCTTGGCGTCCTCCGGTCTCACTCCAATCCATCTACCACGTGTCCCAAATACAGGACTTAGTGTTTGGCCCATTCACACTTCTTGAGGTTGATCTTCAAGTTAGACTCACTCAACTTAGTCAATATCTGCCCCAAATGATTCTGATGCACCTCCAGAGTCTTGCTAAAAATCAGAACGTCATCTAAATAAACTACCAACCAATTTTAAACAGATCATTCATGCATCTTTGGAATGTCGCAGGGGCATTAGTCAATCCAAACGACATTACAACAACTCAGTGTGATCGTAATGGAGTCTTGTTACCAGACTCTTATCTCAATCCGGTGCTTAATCTCCCTCTCTACCCCTCTGGTTGGGGCCTCTCCCAAATCAGTGAACTCTTGCAGCAGTTTCTCTACCTGGGGCGTTATCTTCTCTTCCCGCTTACACTCTTCACTCACCGGTCCGACATAAGCTGCAAAGAGTTGATCTTCCGGCTTCTTTTTCGTCACGTGCCGAGCGAATGCAGGGGCGCTCATACATCAAACAAATAGGTGGGACTCTAGATCGGACTCATGAAACAACCTCATCTTCTTCTTGCCTGTGGTGGGGCTGGGCAGCCAGCACTCATGCTCGCCCATCTTGATATCTGCCAAGGCTGGTTCTCCCTAGTCTGTTCCTAAAATCAGGTCAAAGGGAAGGCTGTCTTCCACGAAGAGGGTGAGGGAATGCAGAACCTTTTCTGCCTTTTTCCCTCCTCTAACCGGAAGTATGCCTTGATCCCCTCGACGTACTCCTCCACGCGCGTCTTGCGGTTGTCTTCCAGTCTACTCACTACGGGCTCACTCAACGTTTGCACCTTTATTCCTAGGTGCAACTTTTTCAGTCCTCTTCACGAATAGAACTACGCTTAGAGCCACTATCCACTAAGGGTCCTACTCGCGTCCGACTAATCTGTACATCTTCCAAAATTAGCTGTCCTCTTCACTTCTTCATTTCAGCCCGGCGGGGTGACGAGTGATCAGCTCGTCACCAATGCCTGTGAGGGAGCCACCTAGAGAGACCCTAGCACAAGCAGTCTCTGGGCCCCTACATTAGCCTCTGCCGTTGGTGTCTTTGGGTTAGAGGTTTCTCCTGCAACGCACGCTTCTTGTGATGTACCCAATGCCCCAGTAGGTGCAGCTGCCACTCCTACCGGCTGTTGCCTTTTGGAGGTGATCTCAACTCAGGGAGCCAAGGATTATATGACCTGCGTTTCCATATTTGATGCAGGTCCCCTCTTTGAGCCTCTTGGCCCACAAGTCATAGGGCATGTTCAATTCCTTCCATGGTTCTTCCCCTACACGTCCAGGGTGCCATGGGCATCTGTGTGGTGCTCTTCCCCTACTGTCTGAATTGCCAACAAAGGTGTAATTGCCTCTACCCCTATTTTGCGGTTGGGGGGCTTGCCCGTTGCTACCTTGTGGGGGTCCATAACCCCTTCCTCCCTCTGCACAGCCTTCATTGCTGCACTTCCCATGATAGCCACGTCCTCGTCCACCCAAACCATGGCCTCTCTACCTCGGTTCCTCGTCCTCCTCGTCCTCCCGCACAGACTACAGCAGCGAAGTCACCTCTCTATCTGGTCATAAGTGAGGGCCTCACAACCACCTCCTTCAAACATGACATTAGGTGGTCCTTGCCCCTACTATTCCCTGAAATGGTTTTGTCTTTCCAAGTCTTTCCCTTCTCCAAGTCCTTGTACCAATTACAGTTTGCTTCTTGGGGAAACCCAGCCTGTTCCACTGCCATCTTACTAAACTCGTCGTAGGTCGTGCCATCCTCCTGACCTCAGCATAGAGGTTGCCCTTGATGGGATCAGGGGAGCTCTAACAACGTTGTTCAGAATCTGTTCGGGAGTCATTCCATGATTAGGGGTCTGTAACAGCTCATCCATCGTGGCCGTCAAGGCCGACACAGTTTTCCACTTCCTAAGATGGATGCTGTTAAGCTTGTCAGCAGTCCTCATGGCTTAGTCTTGTCATCAAATTTGCTGTGGATATCATCTAAGAAGCTTTTAAGAGCCGTTCTCTGCGAGTATGCTACCATATCATGACCTCACCCTGCCTCATTGGCTAGAGAGAGTGCATAATCTTCAGCAGCGCCTCTTAGGCACGAATGAGCCATCAAAACTTTGTCTCCCTCTGGGATGATTTGCGCGTAGGACTGGACTATCGATTCCCAACGATCTAGTTCTCCTCTCTCCTCGGGGATGACATTGCGCCTAGGACTGGACTATCGATGCCCAGGATGAGGGTTACGTGGAGGAGTAGGAGGCGGCGGCGGCAACAACGGCGGAGGCGGAGGCGGAGGCAGAGGCAAGCCATGCCACCTTGCCTTTTGCTTTCTGTCACTTTGTAGGGGCCAGTGGACCACATTGTTTTTGAATTTGTTTCTTTCTTTTTCCTCTTTAACACGGTATGCCACGCCGTGGAGGAAGTGAAGGTCATGTATGATTATGTATTTGGGGCAATTTGCTAAAAGACTTCAGATCTGAATTGTCGTTGTCATCGTGTCTGCTATGTGCTTGACAAATTTTTTATTTCTTTTTGACAGATATTTTGCTGTTCGCTTGGCTTCTTTCATCAGTACTTTCTGATCATTGGTACTTGTGATTGTCCTTTCTTCTTTTTTTTTTCAAGTGTGACAACTTCCATTAACAGCTTGTCTTTTTTATTGGCAGCACAAGAAAAGAAAAGGAGCTTATTGCTTTGGATTTTTCAAAAACCCTGATAGAGGCACTCTGATTGGAGGCAAGTGTTTTTGTCCCACCCCCACCCCCCCCTATCCCTCATGCTCCATCTTCCCTCTTCCCTCTAGCATTTTCCAAAAACCCGAATAGAATGTAGCATGGCTACACCGGACCTGCACCCGGACAGCTCATTCTTTGGGGACCAGACGCATGTCCGGTCGGGTCCGGACGTCTGGGCTTCCGGACACATCCGGACCTCCAGACATGTATGGTTCCTGACGGTCCAGACTGGTTAGCAGGTCCGGAAATATCCAGACCATTAAAAGAAAAGAGCCAAAAAATAAAAAAGCAGAATAACAATGCAAACCACTTTATTCTCAGAAAAAATTAGGCTGGTCCGCCGGTGGCCCGGCTGGGGGAAGGTCGCCTGGGTACCCTCCTGGCCAGCCCGGGCCAGGCAGTGGCCGGGCAGGGTCCCGGGAAGCCCCAGCGCATAA